AATGCCGAGCTTCCTGCCCACTCTGCCTCCGGCCCGCTAACAATCTTCTTCCCCCAGCTGGCTTCAATGAGCAGCCAGGCCCTGCATTTCAGGCATGAAACAGAAAGATCTTTTGGGAATTGGACCACTACCTATAGACAGTGACATTAGTAACTCTCCTAATAAACATGCCTAGCAACCCTCACGTAAGAGTGAAATTCAGCCATCAAACGTTAGCCCCACACCCTGGCTTTCAGGTTTTTTTTCCTAAACACCCATTTCTCATATACAAACAGGTAATTAAGCATCAATAAACATCTGAGGAAACTCTTTGTCATTTATGTTAGAGGCTGAAATGAACACATTAATAAAGGAATGCTATAGGGTACACAGAGATGAACCATGCTGCTATCTATACTTTACTTTGAAACCTATCAAAAAATAAGAAGGTTTGATTGACGGATGGATAAATGGGTATATGGATAATAAGTGAGAAGGCAAATAGAGCAATCTGTCCCCTGTACAACTCTTTCAACTTACTAAGTTTGAAAATTTTTATAATAAAATATTGGGGGGAAAAAAGCCACTAAGAGGTATCTTAAGACTATGCAGGGGAAAAAACTCCCAAACTCAGTTTCATTTATATATGGACTACACAATATAGAGTGACAGTGATGGAAATATTCTAACTTTGAAAAATCGAATTTACAGGCTCCACTGAAAAAACTAAGTAAAAAACCCTGTGAATATGAATGTCACCTTTACCACCTACCCACCCCTCGTATCCATCCACCTGTCTGTGTCTCTCTCTCTTCCTCCTTCCCTCCCCAGAGTAAGCAGTTACAGTTGATGTGTATCTTTCCAGGTTTTATATATATATATATATATATATGAGATTTAAAAAACAAAAACAAAAACAAAAAATTGAGAATAACTCACAAAAAATCCGACAAAGTTTTTTTGCCATGTAATATACTTTGGAGATCATATATAGATTACTGCCTTTTCTTAATAGCCCAAAAGCATTTCCACTGTACAAGTATACTATAATTTGTTAAGCTACTCTATCAATTAAAACAAATTCCCCATTATCTTTTATCCTAGCTTGTTCATTTATTCATTCAAGTTTAGACTGCTGACCAGGAAACATTTTTAAAAACCTTCTTAGAGTGCATGTCTACCCATTAAAAATAATACATAGGGAATAGGTGAAGAAACATTTGAGTACCCAGAATGTTCCAGTTGCTTTTATATACACTAGCACTAAGTCTCAGCAAAACTCTGCAAGGTACTCACTCACTCTATAGTGGGGGCAAAGGAGATTTTAAAGAGTACACTTGTACAAGGCCACAAAAGTATTAGGAAAATAAACAGAATTTAAGACCAAACTGCAGTCTGGTCCCTTTTCACCTCACCTCTAATGATGAAACAGAGATAAGTATAAATTTTATTGAAAATAATTAAAATATTATTTTAGAAAGTATTACTATTTTATCAAAACCAAACTAATTATAAACATATACACACACACACTTAGCATATGTACTTTTAGAATATTACTTTCAAATCATTTGATTTAAATGAATGTCACAGAATTATGGGAATAGCATCATATTCTTTATTTCGGTCTTGGCAAAAAAATTAAACTGAAATCAATCTACTAGTCGTAAGCTGGAAAGGCTTGACACAAGTACTTGGAGAAGACAAAGCACTGGGAGAACTTTTTAAAACAGTGTAATAGGGCTTCCCTGGTGGCACAGTGGTTGGGAATCCGCCTGCCAATGCAGGGGACGCGGGTTCGAGCCCGGGTCTGGGATGATCCCACACGCCGCCACAACTACTGAGCCTGCACTCTAGAGCCCGTGAGCCACAACTACTGAAGCCCACGCGCCTAGAGCCCGTGCTCCGCCACAGGAGAAGCCACTGCAATGAGAAGCCTGCGCACCTCAGTGAAGAGTAGCCCCTGCTCGCCGCAGCTGGAGAAAGCCCGCGCACAGCAACGAGGACCCAACACAGCCAAAAATAAATAAAATTTATTTTAAAAAATAATAATAATTAAAAAAACCAGTGTAATACCTAAAAAATATTTTTACCTGAAAACACTAAGAATATATATATAATATATATTATAAATTTATATAATACAAATATAAATTGTAACTTAAACATTAAACCTTCTAAGAGTTAATATATAACCTTAAATATTAAACTTTATCAGACGTATATGTACTACATATTAAAACTGTGTGATACTAAGTTTGTGTCTAAGAAGTCTCCCTGAAACACTTTGAAGATTTGTTTATTGGTCTCTCTTTTAAGTATGCAATCTATATTTGTTAGAATAATTCTGTCTTAGGAAATTTAATGCACTTACCTAAAAGCTACACACATTAACATTGAAAAATTCATACCTATGACTCACCAATTATCCTGATCCTTCACTTCTGTATAAGTGGCTTGATTTCTCTTGTTAATTACAAAGCATCAAGATCCTTTCTCTTAGTTCTGTCTCTCTCTATAGGGCAGTCTGTAATAAACTTTGTAACCCACATTTATTTAAAAAAGGAAAAAGCTTACTCTTGCTCTTTATCACCATTGCTCTATCCATAAATTCAATGTGATTTGGAAGTAGAGAGAAGCAGAACAAGCAACTGTGGAGAAGTAAATATATATACCTGTTTTATGGCTTGTTGAGCCAGGAAAGCCATCTGCAGGGGGTTGGGCTTTATTGCTTGTCGTGGCGTACTCTGGTTTGGTGGATATCTTAGCTGTTGAGGATGAGGAGGAAGAACTGGTCCATTGGGTTTGGGGCTGTGATTTTGAAAATTTATCAAACGTGGAGGAGGTTGCTGGAAAAAAAGAAATTCAATGAACTCAGTGACAATCATCTCCTGAAAGACAAAGTATAAAGAACTCCATTTTATAACTTTTACAGAATGACAGCAATTCTGTCACAGATGAATCATTTATTAAAATTACAGTAAGGGTACAGGGGGAGGGGACAGCCTTCCAGAATGTGTATAAGCAATTTAAAGAAAAGAAGTTTTATTAGGAAAGACCCTTGGGAGAGGATTTTCCAGCTGCAAGTAGGTTAAACTAGGATTAGATCTAGGCCACACTGGGAAGTAGGGAAAATTTGTCTTTGGTATTCTTCTAAGTCCCTGATGATTACATTCTGTAAAGAATTGCCCTCTTCAATCTTCCTAAAATAATGTGATGGTAGAATAATTACTAACATTTACTGAGTAGTTATTACATGTCAGGTACTACTTTAAGTGCTTTACATGTGTTAACCCATTTAATCTTCACAATGATCCACTAAGGTAGGGATTACCTCTGTTTTACAAAAAAGGGAACTGAGATATAGAGAATTTAAATAACTTGTCCAAGATTAACAAAGATAGGAGGAATGGAGCTGAGATTTGAACTCAAGTCCTCTGGCTCCAAGCAGTAAAACATAAATAATGAACAGATGAATATTAATAACATTTAAAAATTAACGAATCGGATCTTATTGAGATCAAACTATGTGCCAGGCATTGTGACTGGCATTTTACATGTGTTATCTCATTATTACCCTCCCCTCATTTTACAAATTAGGACACTAAACATTAAAAAGCTGGGATAACTTGAAAAAAGTCACACAGCTCATTAAAGGCAGCACTAAGGCTTTAATCCAAAACTAGTCTGCCATTTCATTACCCAAACATGTTTTGGTGTTTAGCTGGGGGTTAAGGTACTAATTATGGCTTAGAGGATGAGTCCCTCTAAAAGAAAATAGATTTTGAAAGGACACCCTTCAAGGACAACACTGGTTGATTATAGTGCAGGGTAGGGGCTGGGAAGGTAAGCCTAGTTTGCTCAATAAATGCTAGCCCTAGAAATTGAGACCAGTGTTCTAGAAAAAGGTAACCGTATATGCCAGTCTCACCTTGACTACCCAATTCTCTCTAAGGTTGGCAACTTATTGCAAAGTAAATACTTATTTTCAGGCTATCTTAACTGCATATGAATAAGAACTTCTCAGAAAGGGAACTATTAACTCCCACATTCAAGGTGGAAAAAATAAATGTGAAATTTATAAAGGCTGAAATAGCAACATCTTAAACTTCGACACTGTGAAGGCAGACAGCCATAAAGTGTAGCTCTGCCCTCTTTTTGTTCTCTTCCTTCTCCCATTTTTGGAATTCATCTCCTTTCCTGGGTAAATTATTTCTCTTTCCCCTCTCTTGCAAATTAGTTGGCGCTGGGTTCACCGTCAATAACTTTCAAGAGTGACCAGCAATTACAGATCCAATGAAAAGTAGATTTAGACACTATTTCAAGATCAAGGGAAATTCTTGAAATTCTATTCTTCTGGGTGAAGAACAGAAAAATATTAGAGAAAACGAGAAAATGAAAAAATCTTATAAAAGCGTAAGCCTGAAGCCATAGCAATTCTCTTTGATTCTTCTACTAAAGTTTTGTGACTTGAAGGGTTTTATATCATAGAAACACAAACAGAGAAGAACTGGGGAATCATAGTGGAAAACTTCTAAGTTAATCAAAGAGACAATTTTTTAAAAAGTGGAAAAGCACCCAAAATGATCCTTAAGGAAGAACAAAAGTAGTTATAGAAGTCTTCTGCCTACTCCTGCCCTGAGATTTATATATTGATTCAGTCAAGAAATGACACTTGATGCCAGAGTACTGTACTCTGAAAAATCAGTGTGGGACTGGATGTCGACTCTCCCATCAAGGAATCCCAGTGTGGTAAGATGTAAGGTGATTTTTCTTTCCTCTCCCAAACTATGACAATTGATTGAGTTAATTTCTAAGAACCCTGTGACAGGAAAAGCAACTTGAAAGAATAAGACTAGAAACTAGTTATGAGCATAAAAGAAATAGCAAAACCAGTGCTATTTTAATTAAATGGAATCAATTAATTTGCAAGAAGGAAAAAAGGGAGAGAATAGAGAAATAATTGAGAGCTTAAGCAAACTGACATATAATCATCACTATCCTCACCTTCACTCTAAATACTTTTATTATTACAGGTTTTCATTTTATTCTAGGTCAGTATAACCATGAAGCATAGCAGATGTCCTTCTAACATCCACCCACTGTTTAGGAAATTAATGTATACATATGAATGAGCTATCTCCAGAGCAGTAAATCTAGCCCGGGAGTGACAACCATTATGTATAAAATAACATACTTAGATCTAACAAACTTAGCCCTGTCCATTAGAGTATGATAGAGTATACTGTACACCGCTCAATGAACAGAGATGCATAATGTTTATCAAGTTTGTACCACTCAGTCATATAACTATGTATTCTAGCTCTGTATCACACAACTTTTTAATCATTCAGATTACACGGCTAATCTTCAGAGGAAGAAATAGGGAACTATTGTATAAGTGATTTTTAGAAGCACGGCTTTAAATTGACCTGGGTCCTATTGGACAGATGTAGAGTATGATTACACCCACAAAGAGGCACACATACACCCTGCTTACAGATATTTTCCCACATATATATGCAAATAAACTGTTAGAAAACTAAGAAAGCAGGTGGGCAGGGCAGTGTGAAAGTTTACAGATGAGGGAAAATTGATGAGTGAAAAATGTAGGAGTGGATATTTGGTACAGAAGAGATAAAATGAGAGCTGAGAGTACTGGAAGGAAGTTCGGGAGTCATTGAGAGGGGACAAAAAGAGAGGTGTGTGAGTTAATGACCAAAAGATGAGAAAATGACTTTACAGTTGATCTTTGAACAACACAACATGGGTTTGAACTGTGCAGGTTCACCTAGACATGGATTTTTTTCAATAGTGAATACTTCAGTACCACACAATCAGTGGTTGGTTGAATCCTCAGATGCAGAACAGTGGATACGGAGGAACCACAGAGAGAGAGGACCAACTATAAGTTATACATGGATTTTCAACTATATGGAGGGTTAGCGCTTCTAACCCCTGCATTGTTCAAGGGTCAAATGTATTGATAAGTGGGAAAATTAGGCTGCATAATAAAGATTGTACATTATATACATCATATAGCAGTAAATCCTAGAGAGAAATAATAAGATCAAAAGCAAATTTCTGAGATAAGCAGGCTAAAGGCTCGACCAAGGTCACTTCTGGTTTGTCACTGCTTATATAAAAAATTGTTTGAGAATGTGACCAAGTCACGGAGTATCTATTAAAATGCCTCAGTTCTTCACTCCTTAGTGAAAAGGGAATTAATACAAATGATGGATTTATCTTATTTCAGGTTAAGTATTAAATAGAAAATCACTTTAACATCTCTCGGACACTTAAGATAAATAATAATCATGCAAATGCTTAGCACTAGTCACTTAACAAGTAATTATTTTCTCTCTCTTTTCCTCTTCACATTTATCTTCAGAACAATTTGGGTGCTCTGCAGTCTACCTGCAATGTGTCACCCTGCAGCCTGCAGAGGTAGTGACAAAATTATGCCTCAATTTTCTTAACAAAATCTCAACTCTGCCAGTTGCACTCCTGATATCGAAAGCGTACATGTCTTTTCCCATTGAACACTCACCAAAGACCTCTTAAATTGCTTGTTATTTACTTCCTTTTAAAACCTGGGTTAAAACAAAGTTCAAGAGGAATAATCAACTGGTCATACTAATATTCTCCTAGATTTGACATGCCTTCTTAATCAAATTACCAGACAGCCATAAACTTCAAATACATCACACCTCAGGCCTTCACAGAAGCAATTTAACAAAATCAGTATCTACATATGCCTACAGCTTTTATTCAGGGTTGAAATAAGAGTCCTATGAAAATCATCTGTTTTGTAAAACTGCTACCAAAAAATGCTATTACGCCATTTAATTGCTTTTTCATAAAGAACCACATTATATATTCCTCTTAGTGCTAGAAAAATACTAGTAAAAAATTTCTCCTCTAATGGCATGTTCCTTTTAATCAAATAATATAGATATTATTCCTGTTTCTTTTTTGTTTGGCTGACAAAAAATTGAGCTAAGTCTTGCTCTCAAGCATGATGAGAACCCTTAGCCTAGCTCTGCATGCTTTGAGTATTCTTAACACTTATTAATCCCTCTGCCATTTCATTTGTGTCATTTACTGTAAAACAGTTCAAATTCTTCTGAGAAATAGGGAGTATAAATTAATAAATAAAAGTAACTGAAAATAACAGACAATTTGTATGGATTAAAATAAGAATGGTTCATGGAACATTTGCTCAGAAATAAAGTTTGAAAAAGGAAGACTTCTAATGAATCAAACCCTTGCCCTTTTCTATTTCATTTTGTCCTAGTTTCTAAGATGCAATGTGATTTTCTAAACACTGCATCCTTACAGAGAACAGATAACCTAAAGTATCAGTCATCCTGAAGCACTAATGTAAGAATTATGAATTACAGGTACACAACTTTTCCCATCAATCATATGCATTTGTTATTTAGGAATGGAATCATTTATCCTCTTATAATCTGAAGATGAAAGAGAGCAGATGAGAACAGATGTCCCAATTAAATAAACCATTAATTTTTTGAGAAGGGCTAAAATCTAGAGTTAAATCAGGGATCCTTAATGTGATAAATTTTTATAAATTCATATATTTAAGTCATGGATGAAAGATGCCTTGGTTATTTTAGGAGCTGCTGAATACAACTGTACTATAATTATCTAAGTTAGGACAGGCCTGCTTCCAAATTTACCTGATGAGAGATGGAAGGTTGCTGGATGGGCCCCTGCATTCTAGGGTTTGGTAAACCCACAGGTGCTGGCCTCCGTTGCACCTGTTGCCTCTGAGCCATTACCTGTTGCTGCATATGCTGGAGTCGTAATTGAGCTAGGCTGATCTGTGTTGGAAACTTGGATAACTGGTTTGAAGATAAACCACCTGGTGGCTGTGAATTCTGTTCCATGACAGGATTCTGCTTAGGCATTTGTGGTTGACTCTCTTTATCTTCGATTACTAAAGAACCTAATTAAAGAGAAAAGGTTAAGTTCTAAAGATTTTCTGGTAGTGAAATACCATATTTTGTAGGGCTATTTTTACTGATCTTCAGAATTGCCAAAGAACGTCTTTTTCTCTCAGGAACCCTTTATACTCTTAAAATAGAAACCCCAAAGAGCTTCTGTTTATGTAGGTTCTATCAATCAAAATTTACCATATTCAAAACTAAAAATGAGAAGTAAAAAAATTTTTCCTCACTAATTCATTTAAAAGTGACAACCCATAATAACACATTTTTATGAAAAAATACTTATTTTCAAAAAAATGTAGTGAAGAGTGGCGCTATTTTACATTTTTGAACATCTCTTTAAATGTCTGGCTTAATAACTGAACTCTCATACCTGTTTCTGCATTATCTAATATATTGTTTAAATATATGAAGAAAATCCAGCCATACATGGATATGTACTTGTAAACAGGAGGCCTGTCATCACCTGAAGGAGCCTCAGACCCTACTTTGAGGACTGCTGTTGCATATCAAAACACAACAAGCAAACCTGACATTGGATCTAAAAACAATACCACAGTATTTCTGATTTAGTTATCTCTCAAGTTCTTTACACCTTCACAGAGTACACTGTTAGTTCTCTGATGGAGAATACTCTGCCTTATAACTATACTGTTAGAGTTTAAAGGTACCTCTAACAGGTGTGGTCCAAGCATAAGGCAAAGCTTGATTTCTTCAACAGCAGAGACTCAGTTAAATGTTTCTGATTTAATAAACATATGCATCCTAAAAAATAGAGTTATCATTCATTAAATACTTACTCTGTATTAGATACTGCGACAGTAGGTCTATGTATATTGTTAAAGTCCTCTGTACAGATAAGGGATTTAAGGTTCAGAGAGATTGAACAACTTACCCAAAGTCACAAAGACACTAACTGAATATTCATCCAAATCAACATTTTTCCCTTGCCGTCTTCTATAACATGTTTCTCAGAAGCCGTAAATAACCAAGTTTGGGAAACTTGTCTCCTTAGAAGATTTAAAATGTAAATCTCATTGTAAATGGCAATTTACAGAGCTGTATAGGACAGCTCTGAGAAGTCCTACAGTAAAGGATATTGTTTTACAAACTCCTCACAAACAGATGTTTTTGTTTTCACTGTAGACTTATCTAAAACTATATCCATTTATGTGTATAGTTACACATATTCTTAATTTTATTTATGTTTACATCATGTGGTCTATGTTTTAAATGATATGCTTACAAGTACATACAATTCTACATGTGACTATTTGTGTGGATATATAACTGTGACAGGTTCTCTATATAGCTGCATGTATGGTGGAGGGTAGGAGATAGTTAACTTATATACACGCTTTGTATTAAGATGTTTCTTTTTAGTTACATAGGTGAGAGTGTGTATGATTCCAGTTGCTTGCTGTGTATCAATCAATCAATAAATATGTGCTTCTAGACTGAGCTGCAGGAGTCAACTTATGACCTTTCCTTCAAAGGGTCACCTTATTACCATTCCTTCTGTTCTTCCCGTGTATGAATGAGGTTTGCGTAAGCCTATTTCTTCCTTTCCTGGTGTGTTCTGAGAGCACTGGCTCTCTCTCCAGCCATTTCTTCCTTTCTTACCCAGAATCTAGCTTAGGGAATGAGAGAGCAACCATCTTTCAAGATTTTGAAACAAAGTCAATGAGCCCAAAAACTGTCATCAAAGGGAATACTGGTGGTTGATGAAGAACGTATATAGAATTCTTAAATTTCTGTTTCTATAGTCTCCCTGTGAGAAATTAAGAAAGGAGGCAAAAACTGAAGACTTTTTCTACTAGCACATAATGTAGCAAGTACTGCCTGCAAGGATATTTGATGTTACCAAATGATACCATAATGATAGTCTCCCTTTGTGATAACTCAGTGCACTCTAGTACTTAAAATTTGGGCACTTATCTGTACGTATGGTACACTTCAGTTAGGAGGTTAAAAATTATATAATAATTACATAAAAGGCAAAAGAAAAAATGAGAAGTCTTCCCTAGCTAGATAAAGCAAATGAACCATTAGGTGCCTGATGACTGGCTCTCAAGAGTAAGTAAGCCAATAATTGTATGAAAAGTCCTGTTTTAACAGAAAACATTCTAAATATAAAAAGTCCTATATTAATGGCAGTCACAAGTCAAGAGTTTGATCAACCATTCTGATAAGTATGTAATTAACAGTACAAGCAAGATTCTATGGGAAAGAAAAAAAACCCTCCTAAATCCAGAAATCTAGACACCCTGTGAGTCAATATAAAGGATGTTTCATATCATCCACATATTTACATGTGCGTTTATATTCATGCATGTGTCACACATATACACACACTAATGAAATACTAGTGAAAATTCCATGTACTTAAAACAAGATGATAAACACACTGGGGGTGGAAGGGAATACATTTTCAATAATCTCATAATCATTAAGAGTTCCAGAAACAAATGGCACTTTGAGAAAATGTACATAACAGCCTACCTAAATTGATAATATTTTGAGCCCAGAAACTAGGATCACAGTGAAATTGGATAGTATTGTTGGTCACTGGGGAAGCATCACACCTTGCTCGAAGGAGGTGCCGTAACCGGTATGTAATCTAGAAGAAAGCAGAGAGACAACTAAACATCAAAATCTTTATTAGCGGGCTTGCCTGGTGGCGCAGTGGTTGAGAGTCCGCCGGCCGATTGCAGGGGACACAGGTTCGTGCCCCGGTCCGGGAAGATCTCATATGCTGCGGAGCGGCTGGGCCCGTGAGCCATGGCCGCTGAGCCTGCGCGTCCGGAGCCTGTGCTCCGCAACAGGAGAGGCCACAACGGTGAGAGGCCCGCGTACCGCAAAAAACAAAAAACAAACAAACAAAAAAAACCCTTTATTCGGCAAGTAATTTATTAAGTTCCCAATAAATACACAAAAAATGGTCTCTGTATCATATGTATGCTAACACAAAATAAGCAATTGTATATATATATAAGTTATAAAAAAGTGGACATACAACGCAGTTTTCCTTCCAAAACATGTTATTAGTTTTGAGGTACAACTCAGTTAGCTATACTGTTGAATACAAAAAACTAATTTTAACTAGCTTAAAGTTAGTTTTTTGAATTATTTAAACTTCACAGAAGCACCAACCAAGTATTTGTAAAATAAAAAATTTTCACAAATTCTGCTGCTTTATTTATTTTACTTACTCTTTCAAAGAAGGATGCAGAGTTGAGATTAGGCGGCTAATGAATTACAGAAAATACAAATTACTCTCTGCTCAGGAAACATAAGTACAGCTCATAACTAGGCCTACTAGTAGGATGGCTCTCCTTGCTCCTATGCTGTGAATCTCGGGTCATCACACCACACCCCCATCTCCTCCACACTGCAGTCCTCAGTGAATACTCAGTCACTCTCCCTCAGTCTTGAAGAGTTTAGCTCCTGGCTCACCATCACCAACGCCATCATTACTCCTGTCTTAATTCTTGATGATTTTATATCCAACTAGATGATCTTTCTTTCCAGCTTACTCCTTGCTAGTGCCCAGATACCAATAATCCTACAAACCCTAAAGGTCCTATAAACCTTTGCTCTTAAAATTTTCCCTGTCCTTCGACCTCATCTTACCAATACCCTTACCCTAGCCCTCAGTTTCTCCTTATCTGGCTCAAATCCCAGGGTTAATCCTCATAAGCATTTCCTGGTATATACCCTCAACCCCTCTTTCTCTCACATGTCAAACTACACATACTCCCTTCCCTCTCCTCAACCTTTTCCCCAAACAACAACCAACAAACAACACTGGTTAAATCTAACTTTTAACTCACTGTAATTGGACTGATAAAGGGACTGACCAAACTTCAAACACAGCCTGCTTACTTTTAGGTAGGGCCCTAAGGTTGATGGGCCTCTGGTCCTTCATGTCCCTACTCTCCTAAGTGACTATTTCAAACCTCCTTTCTCTTTTCAATTCTCCAGCATCTCCTCCCCCATTCTCCAGCTCAGCTGATGGTCCTGATTACTGGTCACTGAAAAAACAGGAACAATCAGGGAACTTCCACAAACTTCCACCACCTACCAGTATTAGCGTTCCCTCCTATCACAATGGATTAGCTGGCCGCGCTTCTAGCTAAAGGCAATCCTTGCAGTCGTGCAATAGTGCCCAACACCCTTGACACAAAGACACGGCCCAGCAATTTTCTCCCCTCTCCTGTATCCATCAAGCTTTCCCTTTCACTGCATCAGTCCCATTAACACATAAACATGTTTAACTTTTCCCAGCTAAAAACAGAACTCTTGGCTCCTTTTCTCCCGCCATCAACTGCCCTCTTTTCTGGCAAAACTCTTCAAAAGACTCATCTATAATGTCCCCTGCTCCTCTCCTCCCATTCTTCCTTGAAACCATTCAGGCTTAGGAGCTTTTCACATAGGTGGTCACTTGGCCCTCAGGGAAGCATTTTCTTCTCTTGGCTTTGAACAAACTATGATCTCATGGTTTTCCCCTTATTTCACCAGCTGCTATATTTTAAGGCCACTGAGAATAGGTTTGCGTCCCAATGTACCATCTCAGTTTCCACTGTTGGTTCTTTCACATCTCCCACACCAGGAATGTCCCAGGGCTCAGTCTTGCAACTGCTCTCTTTTCTCCTGCACCCACATACTTTAAGTGATCTCATCCAGTCTCATCGTTTATCCGACTCTTAAATTTATATCTCAAGCCTGGACCCCTCTATGAACTTGCACTTCCAACGGCTTGCTCAATATTTCTACCTGATTCTCTAACAGGTACCTCAAATTTAATATGTCTAGAAGGGAACTCTTGATCCTTCTCTTCAAGTCTACTTGTCCTATGATCTTCCCCACCTCAATTACTGGCAACACTATTTTTCCTACTGCTTGGTCCTTGGTTCCTTTCTTTTCCTCATGCCTTACGTTCCACCTGTCAGCAAATCCTGTTGGCTCTATCATTAAAAGATATGGACAATCCTACCAATTCTTCCATTATCAACTCTACTGTTACTATCCTGGAAAAGCCACCTCATTGCAGTAAGGTTATAAATAGTCTCCCTTATTTCTCCCTTGCCTTCAACCACCTACAGTTTTTTTTCAGCGGCCAGAGTAACTGTGTTAAACTGTAAATCATATTCTGTCATTCCTCTCCTCAAGTCCCTCCAATGGTTTCTCATCTCACTTAGATTAAAAACCAAAGTCCTCATAATCAACTACAAGGCTCATATACTATTTGGCTTTCCAGTACTTCTGACCTTACTCATCCTAGTGTCTGCTCCTTCATTGTGTTCCACCCTCTTAGGCCTACTTGCTGTCCATATCACAAATAACTCCCACCTCAGTCTTTGCACTTGCTGTCTGTACTTGTGCTCTGCCTGAATACTCTCCCCGAGTATCTGCATGGCTTGCTTCCTCACTTTCTTCAGGTATCTGCCCAAATATCACCCTCTTTAGATAGAATTCCATATCTAAAATCACAATCCTACCCCAATGCTCCTAGACTCTTCCCTTAATTTACTTTTCTCTAGAGCACTCAATACCATGCAATGGTCTATACATTTTACTTATTTTGGTATTGTGTATCTCTCTTCATTAAAATGCAACTTAAAAAAATATTTATTTATTTATTTATTTATTTGGCTGTGCTGGGTCTTAGTTGCAGCTCACGGGTTCCTTAGTTGCGGCACATGGGCTCCTTGGTTGTGGCAGGCAGGCTCCTTAGTTGTGGCATGTGAACTCTTAGTTGTGGCAGGCAGGTGGGATCTAGTTCCCTGACCAGGGATCAAACCCAGGCCCCCTACATTGGGAGTGTGGAGTCTTAACCACTGCACTACCGGGGAAGTCCCTAAAAATGCAACTTCTTGAGGGCAGAGATTTTGCTTTGTTTTCTGTTCCCTTAGTACTCAGAATGCCACCTGATACATAACAGGTATTCAATAAATAATTTTTGAATAAATAAGTTTGCTTCATTCGATTGCTAAATTATCTTAAATAGCTATAATAAATTCTGTGTAAAAAAAGTATTTATTTTGGGACTATGTAGAATACATGGCACAGTGTTTAGCAAACAGCACTGAACACAATGTTCTTTTGCCTAAGTTTTTCTATCTTTCTTAATTTTTTTTGCATCTTCTAATAATTCTCATTATAAAACATGCTCATAATATGCTAAGCAAAAGAATTATGGCAAAAACTTTCCTATGAGGAGTCATAAACCCTGGCTACTATAAAAGATAAATCAGGATTAATTAAATATACTTGTTGATCCCTTCAGATGTATCTGAACTTAAACTCAGGTTTCACACTGAAAACTTAGCTACTGTTCAAAAAGCAAAGGACAAAATTATTTTAAAAACTATGGAAGATGTCAAAACAGCTTTTCAGATGGCAATACTGTATACTGTCTCCTTTCTACTGAAGTTAAAATAAACTTAAAAAAGAAATTTAGTATTCGAGTTTCTACTCCTGTAAAATATAACATAAAGTTTTGTCTACACTTATTTATAGCTTCTGACAAGAGATGTTATCTGCTACCTTATTTATTTACCATCAATCTTTCATTGAGTTCCTATGTATCAAGCACTGGGTAACACAAAATTTTTTACCCTTTAAGAAGTAAAAAGTCTAACAAAATTCACAGAAAAATATGCAAATGTAATAATAGTAGATAAAAATCAGTAATAGTATGATGGATATATGCATAAGGGCTTTGTAAACACAAAGGGTAATCCAACCCAGTCTTGGTCATGGAAGGCTGCCAAAAGGAAAGGAAGACACATCTAGGCTGAACCTGGTAGTCTCTACAAAGATGAGGATTTACTCAGGAGAAAGAAAAAGCATTCGAATAAAGGCTAACAGTACCCAGGCAAAAGACCATGACATTCTGAACCCTGAGGACTAAAAGCAAGGAATTGTCGATGAGATATTCAGGAAACATAAGTCTTTGAAGATTAATTATATGGGAGGACGGGGGAAAGGGAGTAAAAAAGATTGTGGATTTCCCTTTTACTACCTATACCTTAACAGCTTCCTAATCACTAGTATTATAGAAATATCTATTGCTAGTAAAAAGAATACTGTGTTTTACTCTCCTGGTCTCTTCTGTCGGTATTTCTTGCCTTCCTTCTAAATAATATAAGGATAAACTCAGTGTTTAACAGATGACAGAAGAATCCTAAGGAAATACTGTAAAAATGTTTTAAAATATATTTAAAACTGGACTTCTGGAAGGATCCTACTATTCCAATGGTTTTGGTCTTTTACTGATTATAATTCCTATAGCAAAAAAAAAATGAACTAAGAATTACAAGCTAAGCTTGAAATTTCAGGCCAGCAAGACGTTTCTTTTTAATTTTTAAGCATATAAAAGCCACCATTAAAAAAATAACCTTAGTAAACATGGCTATATTTATGAAGCATAGAAGCTCTAAAGGACAGAGCTGCATAATATAGTGACTTTCAAATTTTCTGAGGTTAAAAGTCCTCTAAATGTTTAAAAGTAATCACAAGCCTTAGCTCTGCATTCACTATAGGTAAATTATTTTACTAGCTATATCTGCTGCTAGTGATGCGACTGGGTTCCACAGGCTTTTAAAAATTAAAAAACACAATTTAGTAAATCAGGAAGCTGGTAATACTGGTTCCTTATGCTTCACTGTGTTTATTTTCTCCTGTGTATAATATAGAGAACAATCTTCCTCTCTCCTATTTCAAGAGATCATTGTGCAGATTAAGTAATCCCATCTTCGAGTTTTTACTGTTTTCTTTGTATTATAATCACAAACAAAATCATAGAATAAAATCAGAGAAACAAATTCTTAAACTGATAAGGAGATTGAATATCTGATTGTGTGAATAACATGCTTTCTTACGCACATACAAATAAAAATACTCATAATGGGTCTAGTTGAAAAAAAGACAATTCTCTCATTTTCTCCTTTTATCCATTTTGTTTGACTTACAGGAAAATATAAGTAACAGAGAAGGTATGTACTGTATAGAAGCTGTTTTTCATTAGACCAATGAAGCAGTAAAAAGGAAGAAAAAGAAAAAAAAGACTCAAGATTGACCACATAATTGATAATTATGAAAGAAAATAATCTTAAGAGTTGAATACAATTCATGATTAGGAATACTTATAAATCAGTTTTCTAATAAGTTACTCAATATTTGAACCTAGTTTACAGAAGTTTATCCTGAAGTGCATTTCCTTATTTCAAAATGGTCGTAGAAAATTCCTTCCACAAAACTGAGTGGGTGAAGAGAAAACAGATTTGGATGTCATAATTTGATTTCAAAGTGTAAATCTCTGTGGAATCTTTAATAAAATAAGAGTAAAGCAGGGGTTTTTAAGAATGCTTATGTGGTGTGACTTCCACGGCTGAATGTCTTCTAGATCCTTTGCTACTAAAGGTGGTCTACGGAGCAGCACAGCAGCATCACCTGGGAGCTCGTCAGAACTACAGAATTTGGCCTCACCCCACATCTACTGAACCACCTGATTAGTATGCAGTGACCATATTTTCAGTAGCAAGGTTCTAGACTATTCTGAAAACAGCTGAACAAATGAGAGCCACTTTTCTCTAGCAATGGGGTTGAAATATCCAGTACCATATATCACTGACAGAGTAAACAACACAGTACAGACAAAAGGAACACAGCCTCTGGGTTCAGGTGTCCAAGCTGAGTGGCCTTAGGCATGTTACTTAACTCTGTGCTTTGGTTTCATCACCCATACAATGGATGCATAGGTATACCTATCTCATAAAAATGATGTAAATGTTAAAATAAAATATTACATGGAAACGCTTAGGATTAGTGCCTGGCACACTACAGGTGATCAGGAAATGTTTACTCTTATCTTTATTGTTAGTATTAAGTTCAACTGTCACTAAGACAGAGAAAACTTGGAAAAGAATAAAACAGGAGGGATGATGGTAGATTAAAATTGAAGATACGCCTCAATCATGGCAAGATTTTTTAAAACCAAAATATTTTGATTGATAAAAATTAGAAAAAGGTAAAAAGCATTTAGGTACAGACTAATGAACATTTCTAAATTTTAAGCATTCTAATAACTCCATTGTTTCTCTCTGTATTTTGATAGCATGTTAAATGCCATACTTAGTTTATCTTACCAGTCGCTTGCTATAAAGTAATGCTGTACTGCTGCCACTGGAAACTGCCCATTTAGAAAAATGCATGACATGTTCCAACTGTTTAGAAAGTCCAGCCACTTCCTGCTGCTGTTGCATAAGTTTCATTCGATGATCTTTTGCAAGACTCTGAAAACAAAAAAGTTTCAAAATTAGTTCTGCATGTAACATATATTTTAATGGTCATCATTAGATTACCCAATTAGAATAACCACCACCTTTAAGAACCCAGGTGACAGCAACCTATCCCTTGGTACAAAGGCTCATTCTCACTGAAGTAAAAACCGTGCCCCCAGTGTTGCAGCCACCACCAACGCCACCCTGCCTCTGCTGCCTGCCCCTTCTCTCCAAGGCCCTTGGTCTGGTTGTACATATTTTGGGATGCAGGTTTCTGTTCATGCATCTTCCAGTATCCTAAGAGGTACAAAACCGTGGATTAGCTATAATACAGTAAATACCCATTAAATTCAATACTCACAAATAAAATAGATGTACCATCCAGCAATCAAGTGAAGTTACCAGATCACATGATTTATTCAAGCACATGATTTCACCTTTTAGGCATTCTTATCCTGATTGCAACTAGTTTGTGCCAAGTCATGCCATGTGGTAGACAATTTATGCTTTTTGTGTGTAGTAAAAAAAAAAAAAAAAAAAAAAAAAAAAAAAAAAAAGGAG